CTCTCTCTCTCTCTCTCTCTCTCTCTCTCTCTCTCTCTCTCTCTCAAATAAAAAAGAAAAAAGAAAAAAGAAAAAAAAAGATCAAATTTACCTGATTGGTCTATCTTTTTTTTTTTTTCTTGATAAATATTTATTTATTTAATGGGTAGAAAAATCACTCCTGTTCTGCAGATGGAATTATTTCTTCACAGGGTGGTAAATACACATTGGCTGTGTACATTTTTCTTGCCAGGGCACTGGATTAGGGCCTTGCATAAGCATTATTTTCACCATAAAATAAGTTCTTATGATTTCCAGAAAAAAATGTTGCTAATACCTGAAAAAGAGCCAGAAAAGGATCTGTGTCATTTGTGCTTCTTTCAGATGGTGCCTGGTTCTCCCATCTGGCCCTGGACACCAGTGCTGTCCCAGTATATCAGGCTCTGCTCATGCCTATGTGTGCTCTACCTAGCTCCTTGGATGAGAATTAGCTGGGATCTCAAGGACACAGCTGGTCAGGATATTTTTCTCCAGAACTGAGAAATGCTGGGGCAAGGAGGATTGAATTTGGCTGTCAATTAATTGATGGATTAGGGCTCTCTGAATGGTTTAGCGCTGATGGCTGCACAGGAATGCATGTGGGTTCCCTGCGGGTTCCCGTAGCCTTTTTCCACATCACTGTCCATGGGCTCTGCCTCCCAGGTGTGTTTGTGTTTCATCTCTTAAACATTTGGTTTGCCGTGTCCATTTCATGATTCCCTCGCTACTTTTTCCTCTCACTGTATCTAGCTCTTCTTTTCTTCTGCTTCTTCTAAGACAGTCTCCTGAGAGATTCTCCCTGATTCCCAGGGCCATGGAAGACAACAGGGGGATTAAGTTGAAGCACATAAAGAAAATGGAATTAAAGAAATCATTATAATTTTAATGGAGTCAAAATTGCTGAAGCAAATCTCAGGTTAATGAGTGGGCAAAGAAATGTTGTGTGTAGTGAACTACAAGTGAGGAATTGTTCTAGCATATTTAGGAAGAAAACACGCAGACAGAAAAGAGTTCTCTGAAGGTGATCCAACAGTTTTTATTGATTGCCAAGCACAATTCTAAGTGTTCTAGTAGTATTTTCTTATTTAATCCACATAGTAGTTCTATAAAGGTAGTATAATTATCATTTACAGATGGGCAAACTGAACCTTAGGTGCCTAAATAATATAATTACTGTGCCCGAGATCTCTTATCTATGAAGTGATAGATGCAGAGTCAATTTAGGCAATGAGATTCCTGAGACTTCCCCGTGAACTTCTAGGACTTACTGCCCTAGGAAAATGGAAAGCTTTTGGGTTCTTTTTTCTGTCTTCTTCTTTCTTTTTAATGTGTTTAGTGCAGGGTCTACAGGGTCTCACTATACAGATCGGACTTGTACTGATTCTTCCTGTTTGCTCAGCCTCCCAAGAGCTGAGATTACAGACGTGCACCACCACACCCAGTCTCATCCGCAGTCTCAGCTCACCTCGGGGGCGGGGCCAGGGAAAGTTTTCAATAAAGGGTCGGAGTTAAATATTGTACGCTTTGTGCATCACCTGGGCTGTGCTGTCCTCCAGCGAGGAGGCAGCCATGGACAATGTAGATAGGCATCCCTGTTCTGATAAAGTTTAATTCAGAAATAGGAGCAGCAGCCTGGCCCCACCCAACACTTGCCGCTCTGATCCTGATCGATAATCAGTCTAGCACCTCCAATACTATCTTCTATCAGTTTCAGGTTTTCCAGTTGAGTCCATGAGAAATTAAACTCTTTATGCTTACATAGAGAGTGGTGATTTGATATCATGTTGGTTGTTGGTTCTTCAAAATCTCTAACCTACGTGGAGGTTAGAGGGAGATTCAATGCTTTTCAAAGCTGCATTGGGTTTGTACACAATTTGAACTAAATTCTAAGGCACTCGTGTCAGCCCTGTCAACAACCTGGGCTTTATGGGCTAAACAATGGATCCCTTGGATGTACTCAGTGCCTTTATTATCTGTCAGGTAAAGCAGCTTGGAGGGGCCCTTTTGGAAGATGAGAGACAGGAGAGCACATCCCACATTGCCTTTCCTGCATGCACAGGCCACTGTTAGAAAGCTCTGTGCGCTGGCCAAAGGAGAAGCGTGCGTAGCTACTGGCATGCTCTCTGGAGTACAATTGCTCGGGCTTCTGAGCCTCTTCCATCCACCCACCAGGCCCTCAGGACCCTTTAAGGGTTTGCCAGGCAGTGCGGCTCATGAGGGGAGTCTGAATTCAAGGTGCCTGTTGTACGGGTCAAAGTGTTGAAGCCAATTGTTTCCAAAATAAAAACTAAGGAGAACACACAGAAATATGAAAATGCATTCTGATACTTCTTTTTTTTTTCTTTTAGTTTTGATGGAACCAGGGATTGAACTCAGGCCTTTGTGCTTGCCAGGGAAGAAATTATTCCACTGAGCTATCTCCCAGGTCCTCTGCTACTTCTTTTTGAGAAGCTCTTCATTTTGCAAGGTGTACCACACCAACTGTGTTTGCTTTTATTTATTTTTATTAGTCCAAATTTACAGTATGCACTGATGGCATTTGCAGTGGAGTGCGGCTGCACGCACAGAATACAGCTTCATTCTTATTTCATTCCACACACCTCCCTTTCCTGCTCCTGCCCAGCATGGACCCCTTTCCATGTGCAAGAGCTCAATCTACATCTGTTTTCTTCAATTCTCTTATTTACAAAAAATTATATATTTATTTATTTGGCTCAGTGTCTTGCTATGTGGCTTGGACTCACAGTGATCCTCCTGTCTCAGCCTCCCCAGTGCTGGGATTACAGGCAGGTGCCACCATGTCCTGGTTTCTGTGGTTGGCACAGCATGCGGTACCAGGGATGGAACCCAGGTCCTTGTGCTTTCCAGGCAGGTGCTTAGATCACGGAGCTATCTCTCCAAGCCTTCAGTTCTCTTATTTTTCAACCATTTCCCCACCCCTCCTCCTCGCACTTTATGAAGAAGATAACTCTTTCCTTTAGCCCCAGAACATTCTGACTGCCCTGCAGATAGCAACTTGATTATTCCTTTCACAGTGCAGTTTTATATTCTGTAGGTTGGGTATAGGATGGAGACACGAAGTTAGTCATGGGCGGATTTCCCTGGGAACTCCTTGGACCCATCTACTACAATCCAGGTAGCCACAAGATATAG